TAGAATTTCCAATACAATATACTCCATTTTCTGTTTACCTGCTCTGCACTTACCAAAATTCTGTTTTATGATTAATTGGAATAAAGACAATTTCTCTATTTCTACTGTGGTTAGTGCCAAATTTTATAGTTTAACATTACAAACTCTTTATTGCTATTCTAATGAAAGAATGGCTGCATGTTCATCTGCTTTCTGTGTATGCGCAGTATGTTCCTGTCCTCCAAAGCTTACATGGTCGCTGTAACAACTAGGTTTACAGGCACAAACTGAGCTGAGTCCACAAGGATGGTTAGGCAGGTTGGATAGACTTAAGACCAGTGGCTTTAACAGTCATTTTGTCAAGACAGCATTTCTTTAATGGGCAAGGCCAAGTTTTTGTCTCTGAAATATTCTATGCATGTGTAATTATTGTTTGCAGCAGTAATTTCAACAGTGAACTTTCACAAAATGTGAGACGAACACTGAATGTGACACTGAAGTTACAAACTAAGAGTTATAAGCACACATTTGGAGCCTGTGTTCACACCCGACTGTAAGCTGAGTTAATAAGTAACCTGTTGACATTATTATTTTATTTCCATACTTTATTATACAACATCTCCAGGCACAAGAAGTGGACATTTTATTTATCTTATCTTTTAGTGTCTATCATCTACCTGCCCAGCCACATCACAGACTATATAATTGGCGTCCAGTAGGTGGCGGTAATGCACCGACAAGCTGACGCGACAACCGCCAGCAAATCAAAAGTAGAGAAGTACTTCGATAACACTGGTGATGAATGAGTGACCACAGAGACCCTCCAGCTGCCGCAGCAGCTGCTTCAGACTAACTTTTTAACATTACACATTTGGTTCCGTCTTCGTTTACTTCTATCGTCATCAATACTCGCCGCTACTGACGCTGCTGCTGTGACAGACAACACACAACAGCCGTTCGTTTCGTAAGACGCCTCAGTTAGCTCGAGGTTAGCATGCTAGCTGCAGCCAGGGTGAAGTCAGTGAATGTCGGTGAGACGGGCTCTGGTGAGCTGTGTTGTGCTGTCTGTACAAGATGCCTGTGTGTTTTATCCCTGCTGTGAAGGCTGCTTCTCCAGGGTCGATGTCGATCAGCGCGACACGACGAGGTAAGAACACAACCGGGCCTAAAGAGTTGACTCTCCTCTGCTCAGGAGGAACACAGTGGGTGTAGAGAAACTCTGTTCACAACATCACCGAGGAAAAACCATGTCAACCTGTCTGAGTCAACTTCTAATCAATTCCACAACTTCACCGTGTCTCAGTTCATTTTAATGTCGCTGCGGATCTGAGTTAGTCACAAACTGAAAATGAATGTATTGGTCCACTGATGGAAGTTTGCTGGGACATACAGAGATTCACCTCGAACCCCCATCATGAACAAGAGTGAGGTGAAGGACCACATGACCACAGTTCTCAAACTTAACGTGATCTCAGCTTTAAGGTGGCCTCAATACTTAAGGTTAATATTTATGTGATCTAAGACTTATAGTGGTCTCAGATAATGTGATTTCAGATTCAAGGTGATTACAAATTTAAGTTGGTCTCAACCTTTTGCACCCCACTAACTCCCTCTCACCTTCGTGTGTCTAATCTGTCTGCCCGCCACAGATGCAGATGTTCCAGATGTGGTTACAGCTGTCTCAGGGAACAGGTTGATTACAGATATCGTCTCTCTCTGACGGTGACCCGGGAGAGTTGCATATTTGGAGTAACAGTATTTGGAACCTGCTTGAACCCATTCTTTGGCATCCCTGCGAGTGGATTACAGAGGTGAGCAGAGATTCTTTTTCAGCCACTCCAATTTTTTTGTAGTTGATTAACTTCTTTATTGATTGATCTTTGTCAGAGTCCATTTTAATTCACATTCATTGTACAATACATTTCATGTATCTTAAACACTTTGTTTTAGTTCTTGTGCTGGACATTTTGGCCATTTATTAAACAATTTACACACACAAATTTGGTTTAATGGCCTGATTTAATATACATATATGACATTAGGCTCAGTAGATCTGAGCCTGTATGCAGCATTACTTCTGGATTCCCTGCATTACTTCCTCCAGGATATGATTAAACAGAGCTAATGAGCCACTCAGGTCTTGACACAACTTGTCATGTGATCACTTTATTTAGTAATTAGTGGGCTTAGCAGTCGTTATCCAGTATTTGCATTTTGCAGTGTTAAATAGTTCCTCTATTCTTTGATACTTGAAGGAATATATTATTTCAGAAAACGGAACTATTAAGTTGTTGTGGTTTGAGCTGAAAAACATGTTTGATCTGAGGAAATCATTTTTTTGACCTTTGTTTAAGAAGGCATGTTTGTTTTGTTGGTAATTTTGTAGGTTGGTGGAGAATGTAGATGGACAAGTTGGAGCATCAACCAGAGCCTCACTGTTGGCGAAAGCTGTCAAGGACTGTTTCATTGGCAGACATTTCATCTTTGGTATAAAGGTACAATAGTTATTGCGTATCTTAACGCTTGCAGAGTGTGTATCAATGCTGGTTAGGACTGTCACTTTCAAAACTTCTGTCAATGTCACCTGGCAATCTTAACATTACTGGCTCACTTTATTTATTGGTCGAGAGGGCATGCAATAGGTTACCCTTATAGTGAGTGCCCCCTGCTGGATCTGGAGGCAAACTACTTCAGACTATCTGATGTACCGGTAGTTACATGTGTATTTTGAATTTGAACAGGTCATTACAGTTCAATTATGAACTTTTCCTGCCAGGTTTCCCATGTTTAAATTTTGAGTGAAACTGAATAATCCAAATATTAGTTTATAATGCTAGTTTCATGACTGGATTTCTTTGGTTTCCAAATATTATTTTGCGTTATTCCTAACAGATGTTTTCAAATGTTAAGAAATCTCTGGTCTCAATCATAGATCTAAATACAGGGTTGAGATGTAAAAGTAAATTTGATAAATAGTTGAGCTCTTTTTCGTCAGTGTGTCCAAACAAACTCAGTCCTGAATAAAGGAGACCCACCTCTTTAAATGTGATTTTGTTTTTATGCTGCTTGACTTATACCATCCCTATTCCTCAAGGTCACTGGAACAGAGAGTGGACTTTGTTTTGGGGGGCCCGGACTCAGTAAAGATGGAGACAGAATCCAGTTTATCGCCAGTCAGATGATTCTCCCCAAAGCTGCAGGCCTGGGTGGCTGCACAGTGGTCAGCTACTATCGAACCCTTCTTCAGAAAGCTGCAGAAAATGAGCTGGGGTCCAAAACCTCCAGACCCCTTGAAACAACCCGGCTGCTGATTCGTCATCTTTCTCCATTCAGCAGCTTTAATAACTCCATACTTTCTACCCCAGGGCTTCTTTCCCTCTCCCTGCAAAGGTAATACAACCAAGTGGCTACTGTTAACTACTGCTTTTTATCTGATAATCTCAATATTCTTTATTAAAGGGTCTGTAGAGGGGCTGAAACAAATTACACATAAATGGGAGTTAGTAACACTGACTTTAGAAATTTGAGTAAAAAAAGTAAAAACAATGCAAAAGTTTTTTTTATTTCACCTGAGATTGCTCTTGAAGAGGAAAAATACAAATTAAATGTGCTGAAATTGCAAAGAATGAATGAAATGATACAAATTTAAAATATGTAAAAACAAGGACAGTCCAACATGCCTTCACTGGAATCATGTTTATGTGCCGTCTTCTGACACCCACTTTAATTCTTCTCTCAATTCCTCCTATAAACTGTTGAAAACAAAGTTAGTTTCACATGCTTTTTATCGTTTTTCACATGTACTTTTTCGAAATGTTCTTCCTGTGTGGACATTTCATGATAGTTGTTTGTTTTCATCCTAGGTCGCAGCACCAAGACAGCACCCTTTCTCCGACTCCTCCATGGCAACAATCACTGGGACTAGTTACTTCCTCAGCAGAGCAGGAGGAAGGCTTCGGTACCCAGGATTATAGAGGAAATGAAAACAGCTGCCAGGAAACCAAGCATCATTTACAGAGAGTGTGTCTGGATAAGCACAAAGTCACAGAGGAGAGAGCTCTGTCACCTCTTATTTCTTCAGAGTACAGATCTGATTTTACTCAATCATTTGCCAATTGCCCAAACAGGTCTTTTGAGAAAGCTGTTGAAACCACCCCCCTCATAAACTCTTGGTTCAGTACCTCCCCGCCTGGCCACACAAGGGATTTACCACTCAGCTGTAAAACGAAGGGGTTTTCTACAAGACAACTCCCCAAAACATTTTCGTCAAGCTCCGTGGGGTGGGAGGATTTGCCTTTCTCTGAGAGTCTCACAGATTTTTTGTGCGAGGAACACAAAGATTTTGACATTGTGAGTGGAACTGAGCCACATCTAAATGTGCAAAATCAGAGCGAAACAGTAAGAAACAACCTGGAAATAAGATCTCAAGACAAGAACTTGTCAATTGAATCAACATCTGTTTGTCAAAGTAGCACACAGATAGCAGAGAGCCACTCATGGATGTTACACGATATCACTAATACGACAAACAACGTTGGTGACCGACATGATTTGTCTGACCTGGTGTGCAAGGACTATACTGACGTTGTAAACAAGGGTCAAGCTAGAAGCATTTGTTTCCATCGGTGTAATGAGGAAGGTGAGGTGTCCTTTGAAAACCAAGAAGAACAGCTCGAAGGAGAAGCCTACGATTGTTCAGTAGACCTATTCGGTTGCTCTCTAATGATGGACACAAACATAAAGTCGCCCAACACACATTCAGAAAGTGTCAGGAGGACCACAGAACCTTGCGCTCTGCTTTTGAAGCAGCACCTTAGGAGCGACATTAATGTCACACATACAACACCAGACAAACAGAAACTGAGAAGTATGAAGAGCAGAAACAGAGACAGTTTCGTTCCACAAGGCACACAAGATCCCGACTTCATCCCCCCCGCTCAGTCCACCCCAATTGTAAAAGTAGATGTGTCAGCTTCACCTCTCTCCTCATCCTTCTCATCGACATTAGGTGAATTCAGTGCACAACCATACAGTCAATTTACACCAAAAAGGAGATTCTGGAAACCAAACAAGCCTAAAAAACTGCTGCAGGCTCAGCAGCCCCTTAGGGTCCAGAGCGGGCGTCTCCGCCTGCAGACACCAGAAAGGATTAACCGCAAACGTGACTCTAGTGTTTGTGATGTGACTGAGGACAGTGAAGTATTTGTTCCTCCAACCCCTGCTGCTAAAGGACGACTGAGTGTGAAGCTCAGAAGAAGAAAAAGACAGACTGGTAACAGCAGCAATACTTTGGTTTCTACTTGGAAAGCGCAGCAGGGAGATGGAGTCGATGATAAAAGAAATCTGTTGGAACATCATCTGTCATCACTCACATCATCTCAGAAAGAACTGGCACAAACAGGAAACTGTGGTGGTGGTGGTGAGGCGGGTGATGTACGGAGTCTGGATGGTTCTAATGGTTTCCTCCCAGATGATGAGAACCAGGCATGTGATTGGTCTAGAGATCTATTCTCTGACTCAGCCTGAGAGATATCCATGCAAATGACTTGATTCAATGATCCAAAGGGATTTCTATGCGTTTCATGCCAGCAACCAAAGTGATTATTAATCTACTGTTGTATTGAAAAGAGTAGTTTTAATTTAACCTCTCTTACTGTTGCTAATCCTCCAGAGGGATCTGAGAATAGAGCACACACATTTAACACTGAAGACCGGCTATTTCCTCTGTATCTCTGACCATATTCAGACACTCGGGACGGGAACTCAAACCTTTAATTAGGTTCCAGTTTTAAATGATTGAAGACTGTTGTATTGATAAGCTCCAAAGTTATTTGTTCTCCTCTCTGTATTCGAAAAATCCTGACAATATATTTATAATTGCTACAGAAGCAGTATCTTGCACATTTTATCTCACTAACTACTGACCAAGATATTTGTCTACATTTTCACACACAAACACGCTCAAATACACTAATACCAGGACACAAAATTGAGACCCATCAAAGTCACAAATGTTTTGTCAGACAAAGTAGAAGTTAAAATAAAAAAAGAAATGACGAGGTCATGTAAGACATTGTTTTTGATTGTTTTATGGTCATTGGTTTGGTCTGGGGTGCGTCTTTCTTTATCATTTCCATTGCAATCGCAGAAATCTCTGGTAAACGTCTCTGGATAACCATCCCACCTGGGTTCTTGCAAGGAATTCTTGTTAATATAATGCAAAATGAATCACAGTAGCTTATGAAGACAGAATTAATTTTTGTCTAAATAGCCAATATTTATAAATTGCTAAATAACAAATATTTTAAGGGCTGATAGTAATTTGATCTCAATTTAGTATCTTGTTTACAAAATGCAAACAAATGCACTTTTGTGTTTCCATAAAACCTTTGTTTGTGCAGCTATCCTTGTTAGGACTCAACATTTCCTTAACATGATCAATTCATGCCTAACCTTGACCTCACATAATATCACTAACCTTAACCAGCCAAGAAATGACGTTTTCCCACATTAGGAAGATGTCATGGGGACGTTGGTCCCCATGACATCTTCAGGTCCTGACAAGATCAGTTTTTAAAAGGTTATAGAAAAGTAACTGTTGTAAAACACAATATTAATACCCATCCTTCATAGCACATCTTATTTTGTGGGTTGAGCTGCCTTGTAGTGGACACGTGATGGACAGAATTCACCAAAGACTGTTGATGTGGTTCACACCGTTATTTGGATTGTACTGTGGTTTGCACTGTTACTTGCTCCTGTAAGGAGTTCTCTGTAGCCGGTGAAAGTTATGTGAGTAAACATACACTGAGAGGTGCAACAAACGAGAAATCTCCCGACTATTTCATCCCATCGACTCCTACAGCCTCATGTGCATTCATGACTAAAACGTGCATAGAATCAAACATAAGGCTTTGCATTTACAATTAACAATTGAGTTTAAGAAAGCAAGTTATTATTTGATTTATTAAACAGCTGTTGCCTTTTGTGTTGGTTACACAACAAAAACAAGACAAGTATAATTGAATTACCAAATTTATAAGTATGATTAGCATCTCTATTCTTGGCTGGAGCAACTGTAACTGTATAAATTATAATATTAATACTCATTTGTCGGTTCAGCCAGTCAAACATCAAACATAAAGCCATGCAATTGATTATGGGTTGCAGTAAATATTCCAGTGCCCAAACTAAGTCTTGTGGAAACCTTTTTTAAAACTGAATGATCCCACTGGAGCAAATTAGATATTTACCAATGAATATGGTTTTAATGTTTGAATGTCCACAGTTTATTTTTGAAAGGAAAGGAAATCTCCTACTTTTAAACAATTACAGTGTCATATATTGGGGTTGCGATGATGTGAAGATGATGAAGGAATCTCAGATGACACCGTCTTAATTGTATAAAATGTTTATTACAAAAAAGTTCAGCATCAATACAAGCAATGCAATCTGCCTATGGAGAGATCCGGGGTCAATGTGCATCTCTCCTGCCTGGAGAGAGATTCAGGGCCAATGTGAATCTCTTCCCAGGGGGCAACTTCAACTCCTCGTTTATAAAGGAGGGTTGTTTTCGTTAATTTAGAGAAAACACATCTGGTTTTCATCCAGCTCTTCTCATCCGTCCAGTGACAGGGAGAGAAGGCACTAGCTCAAATTTAGTGTACCCCTTTGAACTGTGACCTAATGCCCTACAATTTGTTCAGGCTTTCTCCAAATTCCTCAGGACCTGTGGACCTCGAACCCAAAGATACATTTCTTTTATGGGGAGGACTACACATGGCATTGCAGACACCACAACAGCTTCACCAGAAATGTCTTGGGAAGTAAAAGCTTCATCAGATGAAGTTGATGACCTAGTGTGGGGTAGTGGGTGCATCACGTGCATGTGCCCATGACACGTCCGCATTGCTGATCAGAGCAGCTGTCTGCTGCTTTCCCCTCAGAGCTGGCATCGCTGACTCACAACGTCGTGTGATCGCAGATCCCTCCTTTGAATGAACAGTGAAGAGACAGTCAAAGGGTACATGTGTATGATATATTGTAATGTATATGTTTTTCAGTATAAGAAGTCATTCGTAAGCATCACATCCTCAAGGTCAACAAGATCCTCTGTCACCTCTGAGTTCTCTCGTGTCCAATTTGACTGACTCTGCTCCTTGGTACTCCTGATGGCGGCAGAGTCTTTACACTGACACACTGTTCTGCTGCTGTATGTGTTTTTTCAGTGGTGTTAAGATCAGTGTGTGCAGTGCAAAGCCATAGAGCCAAGAATACAAAATATCATGACTAGGATATGTGGGTAAAAGAGAGACATCAAGATGAAGATGATGTTTCATGTTACATGAGCAGAAATGGAACTTGAACTTGTAAACTGCAGGAGACTTTCTACTGTGTGTCTGTGGTCCTGTGTGGAGGTTACGTTATCTTTTTGCCATGTGTTGTGAATGTTTACCTCTACTAAAGGAGGTTATGTTTTTGTGTGTTTGCCAATCAGGGTTACACAAACACTGCTTGACAGATTTCACTTGGTGGAAGGATGTGGATGATGGATTTCAGTGTGGATCGGATTTTGTACTGCTTTATTTAACTTTGTAAGATAAGGAACATTTTCCTTGATATCTCAGATTGTTAATTTCCCAATTTTGGGACAAAAAGGAATTCAGATTCTGATTCTGATAAAGATTGAATCTTAATGGAAGAAATCTGGCATATTTAGGGGACTGATATTTATGACTGTGGCCAATTTGGTGCAGATCTAAATAAAAATCTCTTTTCATGTTTCATAAGGTGGCTGTTGGGCCATGGCGGAGTTATGCACTCTCTGAGTGCAATTCTAGTTATTATTGGAACTCAGACCATGGACATTTGAGTACTGCTGTGGTAGACATGACATTTTGTTTGTCATTATTAGTGTTGAGGCTTGGAGTTGCTTCAACCCCACAAATATAGCAGAGTGAACAAAGTGTTTTTTACCATCAACATCAGAGCCTCAGAGCTGTTGGCATGGCTGCACACTTATTTCTGCTTTTAAAAACCCAATCATTTCAGTACATGTGTGCCTGCTCTGCTGCAGCTGTAAAGATAAGAACTTGATGCATTTATGGACCAAAGTAGTCCCATGCCTTCATGGTGTGTTGTCCTTCTGCTTGCATGGAGATTATGTTGAATCCACCTTGCATGTGAAAAAAGATCCCTGCTGGAAGGTAGCACAGAACGTAAGCTATGGCAGAACTGAACAACTGTTGAGTTTTAATGTTATGTCACACTGGCACGCTGCTGCCTAGTCCAATGCAGTCTGTTTGATGTTTGCTGTGTGTGTTTATGTCAGTGTGTGTGTGTGCGCCAGGAAATTTTGGCATCAGTTGCTGCAATAATAAAAATTGCAGATGTAACCTTGAGTGTCAGTTTCAGGCACTTACAAGTTCAATCTTATAGAGTCCTAATGCACATTGAGGCATTATAAGATCCTCATTACAATTTATTAATACATTCCCTGAATTTGATTTCCAAAAGTGTGTGTGTGTGCGTGTGTGTGTGCGTGCGTGTGTGTGTGTGTGTGCGTGTGTGTGTGCGTGCGTGTGTGTGTGTGTGTGCGTGTGTGCGTGCGTGCGTGCGTGCCACACCAAGGGAGACCCTCTTTGCTTTCTGTTCAGCTATGACCTGTTTACTTTCATTATTATAATTATTATTCTGTGAATTTGTCACAAGTTCTATATTTTATTTATATGCCACCACACCGGTGACAGCACAAACGTTGACTTGGACTCCAGCATTAATTGGAATTTGGTTGTCAAAAGTCAAGGTTACTGTGACCTCACCTGCTTCCCATTCTTGTCAACACAATCATGAATGCCTGGGGGGAATTCCATCTGTCACTGAACATCCAAATATATTTTTGAACTTAACTCAAGCATTCATACCTTTGATGAAATTCCTTCAGTCACAATTATAGACATGGATGCAACTTGAATTGTTTATGGAGGTATATCCTCCTTAATATACATAACAGTAATATATATATATAAATAATAAAATAATAAATCCCTCTAGCATCCCACATGGGGGTGGTATGTTTTCCTCAAACTCGGGTACTCTACCAGAGGTCTGGGAGTTTGAGGGTTCTGCACAGCTCCTGCACTCTTCTGCGCAGAGGCTTCAGATGTTGTACCTGGGATCTGCTAGAGCCACTCTCCCAGTTTGGGGGTCACAGCCCTTCATTTTTTTCACAGCCCCTAATGCTCCCACTACCATGGGGATCACATTCCATTTCACCTTCCACATCTGTTCCAGCTGTTCTTCCAGCCCTTCTACTTCTCGATCTTCTCATGCTCCTTCTTCCTGATGTCACTTTCCCCTGGGATTGCCACATCTATCCCTACTGCCATCTTCTGTTCTTTGTCCACCACCACTATTGTTTGGTTTGTTAGCCAGCCAGCGACCCAGGTGATGTCCTGGCCAGTATGACTCTACTATTTACTACTATTACTGCTACTTTACTACTATCCAGCATGACTACTCAAGGAGGCAAGAGTGAACCTTCTCCCCAAGAAACCCACCCTCAACCTGTCTGAAGTAAACAAATACAGACCTGTCTCTCTTCTTCCTTCGAGTGTACTATCTTTAATCAACTCTCCTCCTATCTTCCCCAGAGCAACCTTCTTGACCCTCACCAGTCTGGTTTCAAGGCAGGCCACTCAGCTGAGACTGCCTTCCTTGCTATCGCTGAGCAGCCTCTCTCTCCTCTGTTCTCATTCTTCTAGAACTATTTCAATCTGAAACAGGTAGCAGCACAAATCTCTGCCTCTCTGACTGACAGAAGATTCAAGTAGATGCCCGCACACCACCTGAAAATCAACCTTGACAAGACCAAGCTACTACTACTGGTGTATATATAGATATATATCTTTTAGTTTGGCTTTTTGGAAGACTAATGGAACTTACATGATTCTTGTTTTTTTGTATAACAGTGTGAGCTAAATGATATGTAATGTGATGTACTATTTACAACACCCCCTGCCCACTACACAAAAGTCAGTTGCTCTACTCATTAGCCTATCCAACTGCATATATATATACACACACACACACACACACACTTTTCATTATTTTAATCTATGAAGTATTAACAAAGTGCAATGATTTATTTTATGTGATGTCTGTGTCTTTTAATGAATTTCTCTCTTCTCTTAACTTTATTTCTTTGCTGTATTATGAGTGAAGGCACATCTGGACTGCTGAAAATAAGCTTGCACTCTATACAATGACAACACAGAGAATCTATCTAATCTATCAGTAAAGATGGCATATCGCTGCAAGGTGATCATTTTAGTTGTTCAATTTATTAACATTTGGTTAATTCTGGCACCTTGTGCACAAAACACTCAAACACAACAGGCTTCATAACAAAAGAGAATGAAAAACAAATGACTCTACAGTTTATTAAATATTTTTAGCTGATATTTACATATTTTCTAACTTCCTATTTTAAAAACATATGATACACATATTTTTGCAAATACTTTTTTACATATATCTAGTTGGCACTAAAAGTTAGAAAGTACACATTGTGAACTGATTAGTCCCACAGGACTAATTTTAATTGGGTGACTGTTGAATTGTGTGTGACAGTAGTATTTCCATTGCACAGTTGCCAGGGAAAATAATGTAGGCCTACTACTGCCCCGTGGTCAGCCAGAGGGGTGGCAGAAACTTTAGAGTGCAGTGGAGATGAAAAAGCATGACAAGCACATGGTGGAGAGATGACTTGGTATGGAGTTGTCAACAAAGCGTCAGCTGAGGGTTGGGCAGCTCTTCTACGTTCCTGTGTAGAATTAAAACTGATAGAAAAGTACAGATTTCTTCTTTAGTGTTTGGACAGTGGCTTTTGTGTAACTGTAAGAATGCAGTGGAAAACTAATAAGCCACTGAATACTTTATTTTAAAATCCAGATTGACATGTATGTGCTGCACTGTCAACCATGAGTATACACTGGTTCAACCTTTAACTCTTCAATTCTGGATTACTGCACTTGTTTTCTGCCTCGAATGTCTTAACGCAAGAAGGGTCATCTTTGTCTATCTATTTTGTAATTGTACACGACCCCGACCTCTGACTTTCCTGCAGGAGATATACGATGTAAAGCACTCTCGCTTAGAGAATTTAGTTCAAGTTTGAATAATGCTGTGGTTGCAAATAAAAAATCTAACTTTTACTCTTCCATCTTTTCATGCTGTGAACATATATAGTGGATCTGTTTGCCACAGTTCTGTGGCCTCCCGCTGGTGCTTTGTGAGCCGGTCTCAGCGCCCCTCCATAACAGGTCATGGAATCTCTGACGTTAGATGCCAGCCCTCCTAATATGCACCTGTCCCTTTGCGTCACGCCATGCTCCCAATATGAAAAGCTTGTGATTGTTTTCCGAATGAGACAGTGTGCGTAGATAGTAGACTGGGACTATATACCCTCAATTGAGGTTCTGTTCCCCATTCAACTGCAAGTGGACCTACAGGGAGCTTTGACTGCACACCACGGGATAGTTTTTCTTTTGCTTCTCTTCTGATATAACATGGAGGTAAGAGGATATTTCTTCACGATTTACATGTTTAAACTATGAAGATAGTACAGGTTATGACTCAGCTTTCACTGATATTTAAAAGGCATCACTCATAATTTTTTTGTCTTTGTTTTTGTAGTAGCTCACTTAAAACATATTAACAACTATGCATATTGAAAGTATATATTTAATCTAATTGAAGTGCTAAGGGTTAGGGTTGAAGTCCCTAACCCATCAACATTACAAATTAATGATCATACATGCTTTAAACTGGAGCAGAAGAGATTACTTTTGTGCCTTTTTGCTCAAATCTAATTTTATTTGATTCTGCCCCAAATCACATAGAGCTTAACAATTTGTATACGATGCAACGTCTGTCCTTCACCCTCGACAAGGGTAAAAACTATACCGACAGGGGAATAATATGCAGAATCCTCAGGGAGCAATAGATTATCCTTGTAAATCCTTTAAAACATTCACGAGACAAATGGAAAAGTATATCAATGTTTAAGCTTTTATGCAAAAGGTGCTCTGTGCCGTTCGTCTGTTCAATCTTCGGACGTGAGCAGAACTTCTGACTGAGCTGTGTTCTCTCCAGGCATCACCATGTGCCCAGGTAGTTAGTAGCCACACAGCATCACTGTTGATGAGCCTGAACCGCCAAAGACAGCGAGCTCAGTTCTGTGACTGTGTGGTCAGACAGAGGCAGAGCCCAGGTCAACTGTATCCTGCACACAGGTGAGCCACATGTTACCAACCCCACATATGTAGAATAGAACATTTTGTTTAGATAGGGAGTTGTATGTCTAATTTAATAATGTTTTATGCTCCTGCAGATGTGTCTTGGCAGCTTCTAGTCCAGTGCTTTCTTCTCTCTTGTCCTCCTCTGGTGCCCTGGTGGAACTGCAGGCACCGTGTCTGACTGGCTCTGTGCTGGCTCTTCTTTTGGATTACATTTATACTGGGACTTTGCCATACTCACGAATCCAGCAGTACTACTACAGCCTGCTCACTACCGCCTGCTATCTGCAGATGGATGAACTGCAAAAGGCTCTCAGTGCATGGCAGAAGACTGAGGCGAGTGTTGCAGATGAAGCAAATGTTTCCACCAGAACTGAGAGTGAGCTGTGTAAAAGCGTTACAACAAACTCCTGTAGTAAGCATCTACCTTCAACATGCGGCGTTGATGCATTGCCAAGACAGAATGGAACAGGAGAGAAGCTGGAGAGAGAGGATCATCCGTATTCGTGTGATGTACTGCAAATGCATTCAACAGGTTTGGATTCCTGTATTAAAAGCAAAGAAACAGATATATGTGGTACAAATGGTGCAAAGGGCTGTAGTAGCACCTGTGATTTAAGTTATTGCAGTAGTATATCAGAGGACTACTCTGATGGTGTCAACGCTGGAAAGTGCACACCAGTCACTTATCTGACACCTCAGGGTTTGATTCAAAATATCCCTCACTCTGCTGAAGAGCATGTAGTGTCCGAAGTGGACAAAGAGGTGCAGAAGGATCAGTTTCATGTAGCTGGCACTGTAAACGCAGAGACCTGGCAGACAATCACAGAAGAGGAGCTGGAGAGGAAAGTCGAGGACAAGAGGAAGTCATCCTCGCCCTGTTCTTCATTGCCACATCCATGCTGTGAGGCAGTGCCTGTCATATGTCACAGCAGTAGAGCAGATATGCACCAACTGGCCGAGGTGCCTTCGTACCATTCAGTATCCAAGGCCTCAGTCGATTCCAGTAGAGCCACCGTCCCACGATTAGCAAGCACAGACATTGACAACATCGCTGAGGGTGTTACTACTAAGCAAAAAAATTCCCATGGGGAACAGGATCAGGGTGATAGAAACAGTAAATACCAGACTGGAACACAGAGTTGGGATTATCAGAATAGCTCAGATCAATGCAGAGAACATGATTTATGTTACAGATCTAGCAGAGATCAATCTGACACATTACAACAACATTACAACAACAGCAATGCAGATTATTTTATGAAACAAAATGATGAACATATGGACAAAGGATTATCCCACATTACAGATCATAACAATCACCAGGCTCACTGTGATTCATTTCAGAGTAAAAATCACACTAAATGTCTTGGAGATGATTCAGTGCCACAGAATAAGGTTTGCAGCAGATTCATCAGGGGATTGAAGCATAAAGCTGAGCTCAGTTTGGATGATTTACCCTCCAAACATCAGCAACTGGACTGGTCTGATGGTTACAACGTCTCAACGTCAGCTGCAGCAGAGGAGACGCTCTCCCAGGATCTGAGAGCTTCACTTCCTGTGGAGATGTCGGACACAGGAAGTGACTCTCAGGGGGAAGCTAATGACAAACACAGTTATTCCAGCAGGGTTCCGGATAGAATGGATAGACAGGAGCTCCATTGTAACCCCTATGAACCAAGGAAAGATTGGTACCCAACACTGCACAAAGCCCAGACAAGCATATACCATACTGTCTCTGCTCAACAGGAAAATGACTCTGACAACCGAGAGAAAAGAGCCACTGCTGCTGTGGATAATGTCAGGGGACGTCTGTTTGACTGTGAACGCCGCACATCTCTGGAACTCTCAGAAATCACAGAGCCAAGTTTTACAAATCAAGTGGACAGCAACATGTCTGATCTCATGTGTAGTGTGGTAGGACAGTCATACCACGGACATCTTTATTACCACTGCCTACCCCACGAGGACACACGCTTATTGCACAGAGACTCTGATCACAAACCCTCTCACCCTGATTATTCAAACCTGTCCAGTGATGAAGAGGAGGAGGAAGCCAACACAAGTCACAGGTCTCTGAGGCCGCACTTTGCTACAGGAACCACAGAACAGGTTCTACTGCTGGACATTAGTGCTAAACCTGCAGAGTTGCTTGTGGCCTACAAACACAAATCAGACGAGAAAGACATATTTGGGAGTGGGTTCAGAGAGCAACGGGATGACGCTACATCTATAGTAGGAGTTGACAAGAAAAAAAGTAGGACTGCGGCAATGGTTGGGGCTGAGAGTTTTGATGAGGGTGAGACTAAGTCTTGGGTTGGAAAGACAAATTTGGAAAGACCCGGTGATGAAGGAATACAAAAAGCTGTCTCCAACCCTGAGGAGGGTGAAAACCAGAGCAGCACTTTGACAGCCTGTTCATCTCCTTGTATACCAGACTGTGTACAAGCCTCCATATCATCTACCTTGTCTGTGTGCATACCAGCTACCCTCTCGGCCAGCATGCCAAGAAATATATCGGCCCATCTGTCAACACCACTCCACCAACCTTTCCAGTGTTCTCTGTGTGACCGCTCCTTCAGCCAGCGAGGATCTCTGAATAGACATGTACGGAGCCACCTTGGCGTACGGCCCTTCCCTTGCCCCTGCTGCTCTATGACCTTTTCTCGCCAGTACCGTGTCACAGAGCACATGCGTGTTCACCAGCGATGCACCCACAGGACTGACTTTCACAAGCCCCCTGCTTCTTCAATTTGAGGACACGGCACAAAAGTGAAATGTATATTGTCCTGTCACTCAGGGCCAGTGTTCATTTTAATGTTTTGGTCTGTTTGCATTAAAGCTCAGTGCAATTATAATTTTCATCCACATTTTATAAATACACAGACGGCTGAAAAGAATTTGGGCATTTTGGTTCTGAGATTCAATTCAAAATTCATGGGTGTCTACACCCTCTATAGGCCAATAGTCCATATAACGACAGAAAAAACCCAATAAATACAGTGAACAAGTAAGTGAATGAAAGCAGCTATTATCAGTATTTCTATGTTCCTAATGGACTACTTACATTGGGACTCCAAATGAATCTTTCTGTGTGTGCTTGATGCATAAATAAGCAACTGTTTGCTACCAGAAATGACTGTAGTCTGCAGCAGAAGTGGTATGAATAAAATACTAATAATTAAAATAATAATACTGACCAGAAGTTAGGTGCTACACACAGTATTTGCAGATATGCTGTTGTTTTACACCTTGTTGTTTCTTCTTTGGCCCATGTACACAATGTGAGCAGCTAATTCATTCGTTCTGGCTCCATCACATTAAGCCCCACCAACTACATGTAATCACTGAATTACTTTCTCCTTTGTTGCTACTGAACTGTTACAGGGATTTGTAAAACAGTTTCCTTTCACATGTCATTAATGTGATTTATATTCCCTGTTCAGATTATGTAGATATACAAGTGCTTTTCATAATAAATGATTAAATAGTACTTTCATTTTTTTATAAATGCATTTTATTGCCTTTTTTTGTTTATGAATAATTAAACCTTGTATATGTATTTACATTTCATTTGTGTTATTCATACATGTATACCCGTCCTCATACCAACCTTTTTAGATATTGATAGACAGAAATATTCTAAATTGTAGCTTGTTTTCCCTTTGTTTCAATAAACTGATCTACAATCAAATTTTTTGCAAACGTATGGTGATAGTTACAAAAGAGGGAAACACCAGTCACGATATGAATACCACTGCACTCCCTGTCTCGCATTCTGTCTTCTGCAAACAGAAAACAGTGTGTGTTAAGGTGTCGAAGTGTTTTAGTTTAATGGAGTTGCTGTTTAAAGAAGAGCTTACATAGTAAAAAAAAACACATAAAACTGTCAAGGGCAGTCGGAGGTTCTCAGTTTCACCCAGGCCGTCGTTCTGTGCCGTAGCTGTGTAAACTTAACACCAACGCCTGCTGGCTGCAGAGTAAGCACCAGGTCCTTGATGACGATAAAATAAAGTAATGGATCACAGAAAAACCACAAGGCAACACCTATCAGACATGCATACAATCTGTATTGCCTTGTATATAAAGCTAGCTAGTACTGGTTAATAATTAAGACTCAGGGATCATCTTGTGTCCACAAAGAAAATTGGTTTTCTGTCTTTGTTTGCTTCATAGTTCTTCTCTCTTCTCCCACTTGCGTTTATGTTGTGGTTCATTCTGCTGGAGTTTCAGTTGGTGCAGCCGTCATCACTACAATGGCCTGAAGAGATGAAAAAGTAAAGCACTCTCAGGTTCTGTTCAGACCTGGTGTTTACGTCCGTCCTGAGAGATCCAATCACAAGTGGTCAGTGTTCAGCTGAATGTGTCTCCTGTGACCACTTGTGATCAGACCTCACTTACCCGCTCCATATGTTAATAAAAATGTCCTTTGTGTTTGCGAGGACCAAATTATGTTCTTTTTACCCAGTCTGAGTTTATAGATGTGTATTTGTTTTTGTGCATCTGTGAGTCGGCAGAGGGGCGGAGATAATCAAGGAGGTTAGAGTGGTCGTCCTCTCACCACAAGGTCAGCGGTTCAATCCCAGTCTTCCCCATCTGCATGCCGTAGTGTCTTTGGGGCAAGATACTGAACCACAAATTGCCCCTCATAGAAAAGGTGTGCCCATAGCTGCACTGTATGAATGTGTGTGTGAATGGCTGAATGGCAATACCCTGTACTGTAAAGTGATTTGAGTGGTCATCAAGACTAGAAAAGTGCTATATCAATACAGACCAGTTACATTCACAGTTCTCAGCACTGTCTGGAATAATGTGTGTGGAAGTGGGAGTTGTGTGCTGTTTTACCTGACTCTTTGGGGAACGCAGGGCAATTCCAGCCAGAGTTGACATCACAATGAAAATGATTGCACTTAAGAAACTGTAGAATACAAAGATCCCCTCCAAGCTTATTTCCATGGCCTAAACAAAAACACAAAGATCTCATAATGTATGACATGTAGTATCACCAATGTTAACCATGATAAACACTGGAAAAGATCCTTCATTATATTCCTAACTAATCAGTAAATTCACTTTTCATCAATATCAGCAATTGATATTAAACTAAGAGAAACAAACCGTTTGTTGTTTGTATTGATTATTCAGTACCATATAACAAAGCCTTAACTCAACAGAGGAATCTAAAAGGTCATTTTTATAACAAATAACAACAACAAATAACCATAAAATGAATAATCACCTCATAATGTGATGGCCATACTGCTTCTTCTGTTTCTGTGATGTTGTCATCAGGAAACACATATTGCCTGGAGAAGGAGCGGTGTGTTACTGCTGGCAGGACTAGCAAGCCACACCAAGTTGCCGCCACTATCGACACAATACTCAGGGCCAATGATATGGTGACCTACATGCAAACACCAGCAGAGACAGACAGACAAACATTAATAAAAGTTGGTAATATTCACACAGTATGTAGACAACATGGAGAGCCCTGCAGACAAATCAGTGAATCATTGGTCAATAAATAAGATCTTAAAATGATCGGTTTAGAAGGAAAAGCCAGAAACAGAAGGGGGATTTAAATCAATAATGAACTGTTTTATCTGCAAGGCTCGTGGTCCTAACATTGCCAGTAATGTTTTATAAATATAAAAACAGTGCTTACTGTTTTTTTGGTTGGATTGTGCTCTGTCAGAATATACATAATCCCACATATGATGCACTGTGAAAGGAGGAGTAGAGTTTTAATTATATAGGCTATACATACATATGACTAATAATCCACTTGTAATACCAACCAGAATTCCCTGCAAAAAGCCAGATGGGATGGTTATCGACAGAGGTTGATTAAAGAAGTCTTCTGAAATTGCAATGGGCATGATCAAGAAAGCGGAGCCCAAGACCAACACAATGACCTGAAAGAAAATCAAAAACAATGTCGAACATGACCTCTTCATTTCTTTTTTATTTACACTTTTATTTTCTCTGACAGCAGAAGAATACTTTTTGACTTGAATGCTTCTATTTGAGCACGCGCATCTGTGTGTGTGTGTGTGTGTGTGTCTCACGCCAATAATCTTAGGTTGCCCCTTCATGAAGCGGTGTAAAGGTTTGCTGCCCCCCACTGTGGTGCCTTGAAGACTTGCATCATTCCCGCCTGGTCCACTCACAGAGTACAGCATGGTAGACATTTTATGGATAGAATTGTTTGCTGTCGCAGGAAAATTAAATAAAAACACAATAAACACAGATTTTCTATCTTTGGTTTCAGTTAACAATATTTCATCCTATAAATGACACGAGTTTGAGGCCCTTTTTGGGTTTCAGAGAAGATTTTATAATAAACTGAATATTTCTGTGCACAAGTTGATAGTTATTTGTTTTACGTGTGTTCACTGAGTTGAGTTTGAGCTCTTACTGACCTAGACTCATGTTAAGTATTCAGTATCTGCCTGTTAATGGGACATTTTGATTGAAGACACATTATCCATCCATTCCTCCATCTGCTCATCCATCCATCCCAATAATCATTTGAGGGTCACAGAGGGACTGGAGCCAATGCTGACATTGAGTGAGAGGCCTCTTAAAGGTACAGTGTGTAGAATTTTGTGATATCTAGTGTTGAAATTGTATGTTGCAGCTGAACACCCCTCACCTCACCCTCTCCTTCCAAACATGAAAAAGAAAGTGTGGCACCCTTCAAGTGTCATAAAAACTCAAGGTGTTTAGTTTGTCCAGTCTGGACTAATGTAAAAAACATGGCGGCCTCCGTAGAGAGGGTCCCCTCGATGTAAATATAAAGTATTTAAATATAAAGGGCCTTTTCTGGGGTAAAGAAAACTATAATTCATACAATTTAGATGAAATGAACGAGTGAAAACATCATGAGGATTATTCTACATTAAATTTCTGCCAATAGTTCCCTTTCACCTCAATCTTACACACTGGACCTTTAAAGCACCAGATTTCCCAGCTTGTCTCCGAAACTAGAATTAAAGTACAATAACAAATTCCCTTTTTTTTTTCAGTTCTACAAAACTCACTCTGGATCTTGACTAAAGAGCTCAACATTTAGGCCAGTTTTATTGTGTATTTTATATTTACAGTGACTTGCAGTGAGCAGTACTACCACTGTACAAATACATTTTATCATTATTATAGTAATAGTAAGCAGTAACATGTGCCTCATGGCGTCAGAAATACTTATTTTGTGTGACACACTGCAAAATACAATTCCAACACATTCTCACGTGTGATTTATTTAAACGAAGTTGAACAACTACAGCTCACATGAACCTCTGGAAACATATCAACCGTAAAGACTTGTGGGATATGAAGTCGCTTATTTTATTTGACTTGTTTAGCCGGATGTGTTCAAATGTAACAGTCTAGCAGAGCAGCACGTAATTCTCTAAGGACTTAACGCCCACTTACATTCGGTTACACCCTGACACAAAACACTTTTTGTGAAAATCCACGGAGTTATTAAGGTTGATCAGAAAACAGATTTAACGGAGGCTTATCTGTTTCCATCTCAACAACAAACCCTCATGTCCATATCAAGAACAACTCAGAATCAACATGTGCGTTTGTCCTGAAGTTACAAAGTGTTGTTGTGAGCTGGACTCAGTGTCTTCACTTGACATTGCACAATAATATCTGCAGCCAGTCCCAAACCAAGCATTGATGCAAAGACACGCCAGAACCCAACCAGCTTTAACTGGGTTTCTGTTGCTCCTCGTCCTGATATGGAGAAAACGTGGTTATTCTGCTCGTTCTAAAATCACAGTTAAATGACAGATTATGTGATGATACTTAACATGCACTTGATTAGGGGTCACACCCCAAACAAAGAGGTTATAAACAGAAGAAGAGTCAGACCTGGTGCAGCTCTGAGCTCCGTGCTATGCGTCCCTCTGGCGGTGCGTTCACGTGCTCCTCTGGAAAACACCCTTTCCCGAGTTGAGACGTGGTTCTGCTTTTGAGGTGTTCACGTGTTCTGAAGTCGGAACGTGGATTCAAACAAGGTCGCTGAGGACGAAATGTGTCGCAAGTGACGCCGTGACAACATTTGCACAACAACAAAGAAAGACGACAAATGATCATGTTTGACAGACATTTAAATAATTGAAAACATATGCTCATTGATCATTGATTTTCTGTATTGGCTAAAAACATACACTGTGGTGCTTGTGAGAGATTCGTGAGGGATGAGAGACCGTTTTAAAGGGACAAAAAGTGACAAAAGTAAAATTAGTTTCAAAGGACATAACAATTCACATGAAAAACTATTTATGGAGCTGATGTCAAATCTGACTTGACAACTCGCAAGGCAAACATTTTCGATGACTTTCCAAATTCTTGCGATTATTCCCACACCACTTGAACGCGCAGCCCGAGTAACGGGTCACAGCTGGAGCAGCAGAGCACCACTTGGCTGATTTAGGATCGGTTTTCTTTTCCACTGCTTCGACACAGTCTCTTCAAACACCAACTAATGTTATTTGTAAATCAACTTTATTAACTCATGTCCATTGTGTCGACGGATACTAGAACAGAAACGATGTGTTCTGTTAGGGACTACTTCTCAAAGCAGCAGCTGTCCAGCCTGGCGGAGGGATTCACTAAAAGAGTAACGTCATAAACAAGTCATCTGGAATGGAATGCACTCAGTGGTCAGTTTATTAGGAACACATGCATAACACAGACTGATACAACAACGCTGCAATCAAGTGTATTTGGTTAAAGGTTTCATATATGTAGAAGCTTGTTTTGTTGAAACTGTTTTATAGGCGACGAATCACAATTGCGTTATAACTTCATTTAAATTATTTGTGTGGACAAAATATTACAGATCAACAGCATCATATTGCTACATCCTCTAAAAGGACCTCATCAGCAAGTCTCTAGATACTGAGATAATGAACTGTGATCAGTGAGTATGTACACCCTTACAGTTTTGCACAGTTGGACAATAGACTGTATAGAAAGTCTCCGTTTACAATACAGTCTATAGTGTGAACAGAAGAGTCTGTGTAACTTAAGGGTAACAGCTTACTCAATGTCATGTTGGGGCATTTGCTGAAAAAAATGGAACAAGTACAAATCTTATCTAATAAACATGAATCTATCCTTTTAAATGTAGTAATTATCACTTGGCCCTATCCCTAGAACAAGTTTGGTGGAAATCAGTTTTGCAGTTTTTGCTTAATCCTGCAAATACACAAACAAACATGAGTGAAAGATGCTGTTGTTTTATGGGCGTTGTGGATGAGTCTGCCTTGCATCAAAAGAAGAACTGTTAATGATTGTGGCAACGTGTGTGTGGTTGTGAGTGTGTGTGAATGTTGACATCAAAATAGTTACAACACAAGTGATTCTTGCTTAACAGTTTGGAGAAGTCGACTCCGGGGGAGGAATTTCAATTTCCCTCTCTTTCTGGGAGACGAAACAAAAGACTACAGTTCTTGTTTTTTTGCCCTTCAACTGACATGCATGGTTCTGTGTTCTATCATCCATGAAATGTAACTGACATGTAAAACTGAACAGTCAGAAGAAAAGGAGTGTGAGAAAGAGACACAGCAGGAAAAAAAAGGGCTTCATTTAAACCACGAATTTGTCTTTAAATATGAAACAGATGCTCTGCATTAAACGAGACAACAGAGATTCCTGCCCTCCATTAACATTCATTTCTACCTCCAGAGCAGACACGGATCCACTAAACAATCTCGCAGTGGCAGGTCTCCATATAATAATGGACAAAGCACCATGACGTAACTGCTGAGAGTTATTTCTGCTCATCTGAGGTTTAATGTCCAAGTTGAAATGAGTCAACAAAGAAAGATGCATTGATTTGACAAATGTAACACACAGTAGTAATCAAATGTGACTTTATTGAAAAATGTGTCCTTTGCACAGATTATTCAAACTATGTTGTTAACGGTAGCTCGCAATGCATCCTGCTGTGGGCTGCCTGTTTAGCGCCCCAAAGCAAAACCTTTACACAGGACAGCAGACTGGATCCACATTCATGCCAACATCGAGAGAGACTTGATAATTAGTCAAGACCTTTCATAAATCTTTCACAGAAAGAATGAGGTGAAAATTCATCATCGAAGAGATGGCAGACTCTAAAAGCACTTCTTAGTTTGACTTCCACATTTCATTTATAAGAGCTAAGAATTAGGATATTTACACTGTAATTACAAACAAATTACAAAACTGTTTGAAAAGATTCAAAAGATGTTAAAATTATGATCAAATTTAAGATTTCCAAACTAGACAAAACATAACAAAGCCAAAGCCTAAAACTGAGACGATCAGTCTCATAACTGTAAATCTTATAGTTATGAATTGTGGAAGCCATATTATTGAATCTGTTCCTTTGTCTATGTGCAGTAGAAAGATTAGGTGATGAAACAGTCAGTGTTACATCCATGTGAATATGAAGTTTTAACCTTACGACAACATGCATTTTTTTCCCTCTTACATAGATAACACTGGGTTCCTCAAAGGCATGTGAACACCTCCCAGTGGACTCCTGACTAGATTTCCTTGAAGCAAAGTCGATCACAGCACAGCATCATACATATCTATCCTATGTACAAACGGTATAACACACTCAGTCACAATCAGAGGTCTTGTTAACTGTATTCTGGCATTTAGATTTCACATGACACATTAATATCAGAGCACAAATATCCTTGTTGATTTCTAAATAGAATCTGGTAAGTAACTTTCAGATTATTTTCAAATTATTTAAAAACAGCAGGGAATACAATCAGACTCTTGTTTTATTTTCTTGAAGCTGTTGGACATTCATCTCCAGAGTTTTTACATGGGTTGCCCACGATAAACCAGAGATGTCTAATTACCAGCTGACTTTACACCAGCGACAGTTCATCCGTCTATTGACTTTCCTAAAATACTACAAGGTTGATCATGGCCACATGTTGAAACTGACACCTCTTATTGCAACAGGTGGCCACTGGTTTAATGGAAACAGATTTATAGTAATGGATGCATGAGTGTATTTGAATGAGCACCAGTAACAAGTATTTTAACAGCTTTTAGACAAAATATGTATTTTTAAAGTTCACTTCATAAAACAAAAAAAGAATAATGTAAATTATTATTTACAGTGGTTTCTCCTAATTTAAATCTATATAAGTGCTAAAAAATAGACGGATAAATATTATTTGATCAGTGGATGAACATGTGATAAATGAAAAATACATATATGAACAACTATGTGTCTGTGCATGTGCATATATATATATACATACATAAATGTATATACATACGCATATTTAAATAAATAAATATATAAGACAGAAAGTATACTGATTCATGCAGTGACATTATAACACATGACTTTCACCAGTATAACCTTATACTGTAATTGCATTGATGAGCATTAGTCATTGGAATAACACACACTGTGAGTGGTTCATGTTCTACATTCTAGCATATCACTTGAGTTAACGTATTCACACACATATACTGTATGTACTGTATATAAAAACAGACGTCAAGAACACGGACTGAAGTTAGTTGCATTGTCCTGCATTTACCTGGAGTACTTGAGCGCACTGAGCACTTGGTTGGAAATCTAAAATCGTTCACAGTAGCACGGTCAAACGACCACATGCCTTTAGCTGGAGCTGCAGAAGAGTTCGGCACAGAAGATGATGTGATACATGATCTGTGCTTTGTTTTTCTTTTTGCACTTCCCCAATGTAGTTTCTATAATGTTATGTGTTGTTTCTGCTGCTGTATCTGCTGTACGTGCTGACTACAGCCACACACCTGGAGCAGATAGAACAAGATGCTAAGTGTCTACTGTGTGTAACGGAGAAAAGAAAGACAGAATACTTTTATAAAAATGTATAAACAATTACTGATGCAACAAGAGAATAAACTGAGATCTAAATAACTCAATAGAATATATCATTTATTGTTGCTTATTATTGTTGTTTAACTATAGCCAGCTTGTGACAGCTGATGATTAGAATAAAGAAACTATGAATTGTTTTTTGTGTTTAGTAAAAAATCCAGAAAAGGATCATCAGGTGATATGAATAGAGATAAATTCATTTTCATACCAGCCCTAACATTAATTCAACTATAGATGAATGATGATGTGGGGGAGAATGGTGACTAGTCCTATCCAGGATTTAAAGATGTTCTGCAGTGTTATACAAAGTTTAACTGATGTTTGTGTGTCATGAGTCAATGCATGTGTGAAATGTGTGTGTGTTGAGGCTTTCGCATTACGGTGGGTTTTTTCCACACTCGTTTTGCTGACACAAGTTGTATGATTTCCTATTTTTTTCCCAGTACTGTTAATTTTTGAGGTCTCGTACTTTTGGGACTGCTTGTGTTCTCACCATTGCAAGAATGACTGTTTTGATTTGTTTAAGTGGAATACTGAAAACATCTTTATCTACTTTGAATCAGTAGTACGTTGAATCACAGTTATTTATGTGAAGTCACAGACCTCAGTTCATTAAATTATTATATGTTTGAGTACCCTTCTCAAAGTTCCTCGATGAATCTAACCAGCATCTTCACTCACTTCAATCACAAAACCAATGTAAAGCAAAGCCGTCGTGCTGGATTCAATGGGGTTTCCTCAGCTTGTCTCAAGGGGCCGTGGGTCTCCTTCTTCCTCATCCTGGTTGGGGCCATCAGGAAGTTGTTTGTTCCAGTAGTCGCACTGGTCAAACGTGTCGGAGCAGGGGAGGTCTGAGCCCCCGTTCTGAGCCAGGACTGGGAAGACATGGTCGACCATATCGCAGAGACGCCCGAAGCTGAGAGTGAGACACAGACATGTACAGATTTTAATTAGGGACGTTCAAATATTACTGATTGCATGAATTAAAAAGCAAAAGAAGCAGAGAATATCGCTTACGAGGAGATATTGGTTTTGGCGTGCTCCTGTATCAGCTCCCCTTTGGGATTGACAGTAAAAATCCTGTTGAGTGGAACACCCACCTCCTTATAGGAATAGACATCCTGAAATCACAAATACACAAACTATCAGCATCGCCACTAGAAGGAAGAGTCATGGGGCTGTAAGTAATGAACGACCACATCAACAAGAGGCAAAAAGACTCTTTAATGTGTGTGTGTGTGTCTGTGTGTTTGTGTGTGTGTGCAGTCTTCTTACTGTAGCTCTGTTGCCAAAGGCAGCGTAGAACGGCTCAGTGTTGGGGTAGAAAAGGTGCTTAATGTCCGTGAGACACTCGATCTTAAACTTCTCTGGTTTCTTCTCAATCACCTCCCTTGACAACACAACATATAATAATACATAAACATAATATTTATCAAGTCTTTTTCCACTGAACCTTATGTGCATTGTTTATCTTTGTCCATCTAATGCTGGTTTTGAAAAAGTGCAGCTAAGGGATGCAAATGTTGTGTTATCAACAAAATGGTGTTCCTATATCTTAGATGAGCATAATTTACACAAAATAATGAAACTTTGATTGACTGTTAAATATAACATAGCACTTTTATCCATATGGTAGTGCCTGACCTGTGCAGGGCAGAGAAAAGACTGCTGGGGCTCAGCAGCACCGGCCCCATTGGCAGCATGGTTCCCCTCTCATTGACCCAGTGCAGGTAGCCTCTCGTCATGTCAGCCATGCCGATGGCCCTCGCCGAGCAGTACATGAATTTATATCCGTTCCTGTTAAACAGACAGAGCTTGTATTTAGCTCTACACTGTGGTAGAAATCATGAGACTGATGATGACAGTTGGAGAAATGTAGATGTAAAACATTTTATCGTTAATAATGTGCTTAGTTGAAGGAAATAAGAAATTAATTTCAAAAATAGGTGATATTAATTTTAAAGCCTCAATTCAGATGTCCTTACAACTACACTGTGTACAGTGTGTGCAGACTGTGAGGAAGCACTCACTGGCTGACCCTGTGGTAGAGCCGTGCGATACCCTGGTGGGTCCAGTCTTTCCCCAGTGTGGGGAGGATGTGACCCAGTGTGTCGGACCTACAGTAACACATGAGGGAGGCAACATCACACCAACAGTCCAGAAGTACTTCACAGCTGATTTCCCTCATGAGGATGTCAGAGCCCAAATTTGTGGAAAGATTGACCTCTACTGGTGAACAGCTGAAATTGAACTGGTCACCATCTGAGGTTGGTTAACCTGCCGTCTCTTACCTAGTGATGGTTCCGTCTATATCGGAGATGACTATCTTGTCATCCCAGCTCCAAAGATAAATTGTGCCATTGCAGCGACAGGTGCCCTGATACTGAGTCGTCACACTGAACACCACATCATTAGGACCGTCCTTCAGCTGCAGACTGGCCTGCAAACACACACAACACATGCATGAAGAGACAGCATAACACAATGAACACATGCAAAAACACAACAATATGCGGGGTGTTTCTTACAATCTAATGTAGCAAGATTTATTCAACAATTCGTAACATGATGCTAACATCTACTGCGACATCATACAACTTAAGAACGGGCATGGCAAAGTTATTTTCACATTGTTATTGTGGATTCATTGTGCTTGTCACTATGAAAATGAAATAATAACACTTTATCTATTGATACACTAAATGTAGCCGACAATCTTTCATTCCAATATTTGTTGTTCCAGTGATCGAGTATTGAACTTGTAAAATCACATGTTTCTTTTCCTGAGGCCATTTTAAATATGTAGCTTCTTCTTCATCATTATGAATATTTTGCACACATGCTTGCTTTATCATAGTCAGACCATTCAGGATTTCACTTTTTTATTAAAATACCTACTTTTGGGTGGGTGATTTAAACAGAAATTTGTATGGAATTTTCTCATCTAAACTCAAAAGTTCAATTTATAGGAAAATAAATTATGACATTATTATATTTTTTCAACACTTCAACATATGATTGTTTTATTTAAATTTTCAATTAAAACAGTTTTGTTGTCATTTATTGTGCGGATGATTAGATCTTTCATCTGTATTGAATCTGAATTGAAAATATATTTTCTCAGGACGTGTCAACAGGAAACTTTAACATAACTGTCAGTGCTCAGTCGACAGCACAGAGTACCGTTCATTTTGTGAGTGTCAGAATGTAAGTGGAGTCGGATTTTCTCCGCACCATGGTTCTCCTTTCCTAACTCCTTACAGCTTCTCCTTCACAGTTCCCTTCATGGTTCTCCTTCACATCTTTCCTTGACCTTGTGACGTATTCCACCGGGGTCAAAGCATAGTGGGGAGGAAAGCTTATTTGGACTCTCTGAACGCATCCCTAATGTGTGACAGCAGTGGCCATGAATGAACACCCCCAGAAGAGGGAAACAATGAATTGTAATTTCCCATCAAGTAATTCTTTTGTCATTTTATGCAGAATGAATGCAGTCTGCAGAGTAAATCATGCATGCAGTATGTAATATTGACACAACTTGTTTGGATATTTCAGGAGGCGTCAGAAAACATACCAGTTGCTCTGATGTGAGCCGCAGAGTCTTCTTATAGCAGATGCTGCCAGAATTCATGAGGGGCTCTGACTGGCAGGATACTGACATGAGATTGGAGGATCTTTGGTCTTCATCACTTGAGGACGACTCATCCTTCATCCTGAAAAATCAAAGAGGACTTGGTATAAGGTGAGGCCATTAATCCTGATGAAAATGCAAGTGTTCATCAGAGAAATGTGGGAATCTAAAAAGTGAAAAAGCGGAAGAATGAAAAAAGTCACCTGTTGACTGAAGCCATTGCGAGTGAGCTCTCTTCTCTGACTCCTCCTGCCTCTGACACTGATTCCTGAATTGAACAAGGGTCAAAAGCAACAACTGAGTTAATCAACTGAAAAATCAACCCCCGAAAAGGACGATCTCACTAATAATGTGTGTATGCTTACTGATTTGGAGTCTCTATTCCCACTTCTCCACGAGAACCACCAGCGTCCTCCTTTCTTTGGCATCTTCTCCTTCATGATGTTCTCCACGGAGGCCTGGAGACAACCATGCAAATACAACTCAAAACTGACAGAAAAACTAAAATAAACTTGGTGCCAAAAACACAGATAAACCCACAAACAAATGAACCAAAAATGTAAAAATGCAACAAAACAAACAACACATTTCAGACCACACTCAATTCTAAATAACTCGCCAAAATAAAGGCAGTTACAGGTGAAAACACGAGTTCATGCAAACAATAATCAAAGGAGCTAAAGTAAAACCTGAGAAGAAGAGAAATAATTCTGTGACTGGATAGCAGGGGGAGAAAATACAGCAAGACACATGGCAAAAGAAAGCATGCAAGAAAAAGACAGATGGATAAACAGATTGACAAAAATGGGATATAATGACACAGACATGCTCTGACCAACACCGAAAGCTAAACCAGAAAACATCATACAGGCTGGGGCGGGCTGGAGCCAAACAGACCGGGGAGGCAGTACGAGAAGAGCCCAAACACAGAAAACACGTAACTCAAACACCAACACTTGGTCGGATGGATGGTGGGAGAAAGAAAATGTGTAAATGAAAAGGGAAAAAAATGAAGGAGGAGGATAAAGACATGACATCATTAAATTGTTAGGAGAACAGTTAGATTTAAGGCAATATTTCACTGTGGTACAACACTGGCAGCTCTGATGTGATGTGTCCATCAACAGCTGGCAGGTTCAAGTATGAAATCAACTTTCATTACTCTGCACAGCAACGATTCAAAATTGATCATTAGAGCCAGGAACCAACTTTATTTGGAAGCGTTAAGTTCAATTTTAGCGTTTGGTTGAAATAAAGAGAAGACGTGACAATGAAAACACTGAACCAGAGTGAAACATTAGGACAAGAAGGATTAACTGCATACAAAATGCTCTGGAGTGCACAGGGTGTGATGCAGGGAGTTGCAGAACAATAGTAGACACAACAAACAACATCTAACAAATGTAATAATAAGAATAATAATAACTGACGTATGAAATCGAATTAATTCATCTTTGAGTCCAAGTGAAAACTGGACGAACTAAACACCTTTTGAGGTTTTATGATAACTGAAGGCTACCACAGGTTCTCATTCATGTTTGGAAGGGGAGGGTGAGGTGAGGGATGTTCAGCTGCAACATGAAACTTCACCACTAGATGTCACCAAATTACACACACGGAACCTTTAAGATCTGAGTACTTCTACCACCACAAAACATTCAGTCAAAGTGAGACTCAGATATGTGTGTGTCACTGCAGCGGTCTTACCTGCGGCAGAGGTTTCTGATAGACCTGCATGGCCAACATGACGGGAGCTGCTGTGTTCCAGTTGTAGTATCTACATCAGATGTAAAGAGAGTTAGAAGCACTTCTTAAAACCTGGTCTTCTATCTGCAAAAAAAAGCTGACATGTTGAAAGCAGGAATTATGGTGCGTGTAAATGTATTAATGTGCGTGTACATGTATTAATGTCATTAGACATATCATCGTACATACTTGTTTCCTATTTTCACCACCAGGTTGGGGTCGTCAATGAGAGAAGGGTTTTCTGAGAACTGCTGATAAGAAACTGCCCTTTCCTGGAACTGCTCTGTGTCAGGAAGAACACACACACACACACACACACACACACACACACACACAGACATTTTGTTCAATGTCAACAATGTGACCTTATATTTTTTGAAAATATATCACAATGTGAAATGGGTCTTGGTGAGTCATCATTTTCTATGTCCAATGGATGAGCTCAATCTGTCTTAAATACTTTACAGGGACACTTGCATGTGTTCTACTCATATTCATGTTGTATACCATACCTTCCTATATACTTATAACTATCTAATATAAATATATTTGTATATGTTTATTTCAATATTCTCTGACACTAATGCACAAATAGTTGACATTCTATGCCACTGCACTTTAGTCAAGTACATTTCTCAACAAACAAAACTTCTGCAGTGAAAGGTGTATATTATGTATGTATTTATGTACAGTTATGTATTTATTTAATTAAAATGTTTGATTCTCTTTTCTACCTAATCTGACTATCAGCTGCTTTAAGTGAGTACGTCTTAATTTATCTTATCGCTTTCAGTATCAACTGACAGCGCCCCCTTGCTACTTCCTGAACCGACCTCTTGTGATCTCTGTGTTGTCAGTGAGCCCTCCACACAAAGAGATGGCAACGTGAGAAAGGTCTCCTAATTGGTCGGACAGACTGTCCACACCGCTGTCCATCCCACTGCTGCCCACTGACTGTGGCGATTGATTAGCACTCCGCACTCCCATCATCATCATCTCCGAGTCTGCTTTTATTGAGCTGCTGCCTCCGTCGCTGAGGAGAGAGAGAAACACAATCACTCTGCGAGAAATAGATCTGAAAGTCAACTCAACTGACCGGCTCCATGATGACCTCAAGGAGGTGAGTTACACCAATCAAACTTTAAATACATGTAATAAAAGCATGAAATTAAAAAACCTTTAATAAAAGCCAGAAAAAATAAGTAGGTTTGAATTTTTTTTTAAGAATATCAACATTTTCCAATCAGACTCTGATACCTTTTAGGGAAGTAGAGAGCAGCGACTTCAGGCTCCAGCTCTGTAATGTCGTCCAGGTATACACCATCAGCACCCAGGTGCTGGCTTCTCTTTTCTTAAAAGAAGAAAGTATCGCACTTGTTCAACAGCAAAAATTAAAGATATATATATATTTCAACACTTCCCATTCAAGAGTATTGTTTGTGTTGCTCACAGAAACACATACCTTTCCTCTTGGATGGTGAATCGGTTGTTCTGATGGGACTTCCTCGGTTTTCACCTTCGTCCAGATGATCGAGGAGAATCCTGGCGGTTAGACCCTCCATCTCTGCACATGACGGCCCAACATTGTCCACCTGCCTCTCTAAGGAAACAAAACAGCAGAGAATCAATTGATGCAAGAGATCAAAGTAATGGCTCAACAAAATCTACTGAAACACAAAGTTCACTTTAAGAGTACCCTGTTGATGCACGGTTCACCCACGGACGTGACTCCTGAAATATTCAGCAGTCTTGTCTGCGAAACATGACATTTTAAAAACCACCTCTGGAGGTCACTAAAGTGCAGATTCCCTTCTGAGAGTTTGAACTGATAAATGTAATCAATAAACAGCGCTGGACGTGTTTGGCAATGACCGAACACATCTAGAGAATGTTTTGCACATAAGAAGCAAAATCTTCCCCTGTATAAATACCTTGCTCTCCTCCAGCCCTGTCCCCAGTCTTAGCACCTAGTCCATCTCTGGCTCTGTGTCTGGTTCCCTCTGTGTCCTCGTGCCCACCAGTAGCAGCGCTCTCCCCTGGCTGGGGCCCATAGAGAGTAAGGGAAGGGGGTCCACAGTCACTGATAGCTCTGAAGTGAGTGTTGGCTGACAGTGGGACGGAGACTGGGGTGGCCAGGTCCTGCTTCTGGTGGGAAGTCAGGAAGGCCGGCTGTAGAGACAGAGTTTTCACACAATATTAGTAAACCTGATCTTAACCCTAACTCTAACTTCCCTGTGTTCCCCTCAGAGTGCTTCTTCTAAGCACTGCGTTTCTATCTCAACCTAAACACCACTCGGGCTGTTGGAATGAATGATTATTTTTGATAAGA